GCGTGATAACCACTTGTGTAGTATTTGGTTCATTATAATGAAATAAAATGTAATGGAACAATTACTTTTTAGTCTGTCTATAGAATGATTTGTAATACATTTTTCATACATATTGTGTTTGGATCATAAATTTGGATAAATATTTGAAAAGAAAAAAGGAAATAGGGAATAGGCACATAATATGGAGTATGTGCATAAATAGAAATGCTTCTAGCTTAATCTGTTACTAATAAATTCTTTTGTTACATACTTGTAATATTTTAGTTAAGGAAATGGCTTCCTTCTAGTCCGATCACAGATTGGAGAGTACTGTTGGGCCCGTAGAGGGTACTACTGTAACAAACATCTCCCTAAGTCATAACTCTACTCACTAAAATAATTCATAATATTTATACTAAACTCGTAACATTATTTTAAAGGTGCACATCTTATATTTGTTTATTACAAAGTGATCTAACACATCACACACATGCACTTTCATCAAAAGAAATAAAATTAACTAAAAAATTTATCATGAAATGTATCAAACACGTAACTATCAAAGAACAAATTTATCATTAATTCTTTTCATCTAGATTCACTGAAAATCAATTATTTATGTTGATCGTCTCCATCATCATTTGATCATTTTCATGATCACTATCGATTGCTATTGTTGATCAACTTCATCATATGCAATGTTTCATATTTTGGTAAAATAATAGTACAATGACCATATTTATATATCATGTTTTGTTTCATTTGTTAAACTTTCATTGGTTTGATGAGTAACATCACCTATATATCAATCACGAAAAACACATAAGATGGTAGACAAAACATGATAAATAAAAATAATATTTAAATAATGATATAATGATTACATTTATAGATCACATTTTATTTTTGCTCTCATATTAGAAAATTTAGTTAAATGAGTTACATGATCATGTTTATATGTCTTCTATTGACCCTCTCATGTTTATAAAATTTCATTGATTCAATGAATTAAATTATTTATATCAGTTATCAGTCTATTATAATAAATAAAATAGTAAATAAAATATGATAAATAAATATAATTATTATAAAATTATTATTTTTGAAATTATATATAGTGTGTGTTGTGAAAAAGGCTATAAGAGAATGAGACGGTGTATTAAGTCGGTTGTGCAAACGTTTGGAGGTGATAAACTTTGGCATTTCTTTCCTTCGGGTTAGAATGGAGAGCAGAGAGGAGAGGAAAAAAACATGGCCCTTGCCCTTTCTAGCCCTTTTTATTATAGGTAATAGAAAAGTAGAAAAAGCCAAAAGAAAGGTCAAATTAATAACAAATGAATGACCGAAGCAGCTAGGAGAGGAAAAAAACATGACCGTTGCCAGCTTTTATTACTATGCGTGAATTACATTAATATTTCTTATAATTTGAAATTTGTGTTACTTTAATTTTTTATTTTTTAATTGTGATATATTTAATCATAAATTTTGAATCTTATTTCAAATAAGCACAATTGAAAATATCATAAGATTTTTTAAGAGTAAAATCGTCAATTTGATAAAATATAAACTAATTTGATAAAAATAAATATCAAACAAACATTTTTGAATTTTTAAAAATCATTTCTACCCACGAAAAATGAAATTATGTAAAATTGATAAATCTCTTAGACATTTATTTATTTATTTTACTAAATTAATTTTTATTATGTGTTTAGATGATGATCATGTAAAATTAATTTTTAAAAATTAATCATGTAATTTTTATTAATTTTACATAATTTATCATTGGTGAATAAAAACAATTTTTAAAAAATTAAAAATATTTTTTTGGCATTTATTTTTGTCAAATTAGTTTATATATTATTAAATTGACGATTTTGCCCTTGAAATTAAACAATGGTATCTTCAATTGTCCTTATTTGGAATAAGATTCAAAATTCATAGTCAAACGTGTCATAATTGAAAAGTCATAAACCAAAGTGAGACAACTCTCAAACTATAGGGACTGTTAGTGTAATTTGTCCTACTACTATTAACCATGCGATACAAGGTGTATATGATTTAAAATGAATAATTTAAAAATAAGATTATAAAGTATACAAAACTAGTGACATATTATGTATGCGTCGATCTCAAGTCCAAGTGACCTTAACTCGGATCTCGCCATGCTGTTCGAAAATATTCTTCTGAGATGTACTGGAGAGTTGAGCAGGAAACTCTGCAGTGCCCTTGGCAAACTCACTGGCATGATCCATCAGATCCACCCTGCAGCGGCTTTAATTTTTTTAAGTCATTAGTTATTATTGTTATTATTATTTTATTTTATTTTTAGTTTTATTAATTGTGTGGATACATAAACTCTAATGTGATATTTAATTAATTTAATATACTATTTAATTATATATAATTAATTTAAATATTTATATATATATTGATTTTTTGTTTTTTTATATACATACAAGGTGTTTTATATATATATATATATATATATTGATCTTATATTTATATTTATATATGTTATATTTATATGTATTTATATAATATTGTATAATAGTCAATTAAGTTATAAGCATTAGAAAGGGTTGAAAAAAGAAAAAAAAAAAAGATAAAACGAAACAAAAACAGAGGGGGCTGTGTGGGTGCGGCAGCCGTGAGAATGAGAGAGAGAGTGAGAGATTAATCAAGAAAGAGACCCGAAAAAGAGAGAAACAATGGGGAGAGAAAAAAAAAAAAGAAAAAGAAAAAGAAAAAGAAAAGGTTAGGGGTTTATTTTAGGGGTTTTTTTTAGGGGTTTTATTAACCCTCTTAATATTTCTTTGATCATTGAAAAATAATTGTAAATATTGGGTAAACTTTATAAATATTAATAATTAAAAACATAAAATTTTTCATGAATACGTAATAAATTTCTAAAATTAATTCGTAATTTTCCTAAAAAAATGAAGAGATTGAAGAAGAGAGTTTTGTTGTGTTACCAGTGGAAGAGAGGGGTGCTTCAGAAACAGAGATTCCACGGCATGATTTGATCGGGTTATTAAAATTTAATATTTTGATACTAATCATATGTGTTGGACTTTTCAAGAAATTTATATGTGATGGATTTTTCAAAGAATTTTTTTCATACTTGTTCTTAATGCATTAAAATGTTATTATGAGAGATAATAATCATGTGTTGGATTTTTTAAGGAATTCATATGTATTTCACAATTATTTTTATATATGTGAATTGTAATTTTTAAATGTCTTTTTTTTAAATGTCTTCTTTTTTTTATATTATATTAAAGTGTAATATTTTGATAATAATCATATGTGTTAGACTTTCAAGAAATTCATATGTGTTGGACTTTTTAAGGAATTTTTTTTTATGATTGTTCTTAATGTATTAAAGTGTTATTATGAGGGATAATAATCGTATGTATTGAGACTTTTCAAGGAATTCATATATGTTGGGCTTTTCAAAGAATTTTTTTTATACTTGGGGGTTGGGAGAAGTTAATAAATGCTAAGGTTTTTTTTTATAAAATAAAAAATCAAAAAATTTAGATTGGGATATTGAAACTCCCACATGACTTGGGGGGTTAGAAACTCCATTTTTCTTAATAGGTAGATAGATAGATAGATAGATAGATATATCTTTTTATTTTTATTTTTATTTTTGTGTGGTTTCTATTCGGATATTTTTTTTTCAATTTATTTAAGATGGAGTTGCGGGTATCTTTTTTTTTCAATTTAATTTATCTGTGGTTTCCATTTGTTTTTAATTATTATTATTATTTAGGTAAATTATGATGTGAGTTAAATATGTGATAGACATGTGAGTTTTATTGATTTAAAATATATTTAGATAAACTTTAAAGATTTTTTTTTTAGTTTTTTAGTTTTTTTGTTATGTTATAATATAATATATAAAATATAGGTAGATATCTACAACTTTAATAAAAAAATATTATTTGATTTTTTGGGAAAAAAAAAAAAGGAATGCAAGCTTTAATATTTTTTTTTTTTGAAAATTTGTGAGAGAGATTAGGAGGGAGAGATTATGAAATATTTTTGTTATTAAATAAATAAAATCAGTCAATAGTTTTTTTAATCTATTTTGTAAATTAAAAACCAATAATTTTAAAATTTTAATTAATTTATCCCATTAAGTGATTTAAAATTTTGATAGATATACATAATAAAAAATACATAATTATAGAAAAAAAATGCAAGTTTTAATATTTTTTTTTTGAAAATTTGTGAGAGAGGTTAGGTGGGAGACATTATGAAATATTTTTGTTATTAAATAAATGAATCAGTCAATAGTTTTTTTAATCTATTTTGTAAATTAAAAATCAATAATTTTGAAAATTTGATTAATTTGTCCCATTAAATAATTTAAAATTTTGATAGATATACATAATAAAAAATACATAATTATATTATTAAATCATAATTCAAATTTAGATGTTATATCTTTTTAAGATCTATAGCTAAATTCTTTTTTTTTTTGTAACCATAGTGTATGGGAGAAATTGAAAAGAGTGTTGCAATAATTATGAGAGAAGTCAAAAGGATTGTGGGTTGAGAGAAGTCAATAAATGCTGAGGGTGGGTTAGGAGAAGTCAATAAATACTGAGGTTTTTTTTTTTAAATCAAAAAATTAAAAAATTAAAATTAAGAGATTGAAACTCTCACAAGTTTTGAGTTAAAAATATCTTTTTACTAAATATATAGTATAGATAGATAGATAGATAGATATATATATATATCTCGATATATATTTGTCTCCATTAATTATTTTAACCAAAATTCGAGTGTTTGTTATCTGAAGAATGTTGGCTCCTTTTCAGTGCTACTACTACTGCTACTCTCTCTCTCTCTCTCCTCGCGCACACACAGCTTGAAGAAGATGTCAGGAAGAAGAAGAGTTTCTGATTCTTCCATTATTGGACGAAGAAATATATATATATATATATATCTAATGTTAATTATATATATGTCTATTAATTATTTTAACCAAAATTCGAGTGTTTCTTAAGGAACGGACCGTTGGCTCCTTTTCAGTGCTGCTGCTTCTACTACTCTCTCTCTCTCTCTCTCCTCACACACAAGCAGCTTGAAGAAGATGTCAGGAAGAAGAAGAGTTTCTGATTCTTACATTATTGGACGAAGAAGAATTGCTTACCATAATTGTCAAAAAGGTACAATATTTCCCTCATTCTTATTTCATCTGTTTCGTTCTCTCTCTAACACCACCACAAGCCCTACTTCTCCTCCTCCTCCTCCTCCTGCTGCTGTAATACCCAAACAACGATGCAATTTGGGTCCCAATCATCTTCAATCTGCTTTAATTTCGTTCAATCGCATGCTCCAAATGCGACCTTTGCCCCCCATTTATCAATTCAACAAAGCTTTAGGGCCTATTACGAAAATGGGTCATTACGACATCTCTCTTTCTCTTATTCTCAACAAGCTGCTACAGTTCCAGGGCATTCAGCTCGATATCTACACCTTCAACATTGCTATTAACTGTTATTGCCGCCTTAATCAAGTCCATTTCGGCTTCTCTCTGTTAGGTTCCCTCTTCAAACGCGGTTTTACACCTGATGCAACAACCTTCAACACTCTGATTAATGGACTTTTTTTGGAAGATAAAACCCCTGAAGCTGTAGAGTTATTTACGCAATTAATCAGAACTAGAGAAATTGAACCCAACGTGGTTATGTATGGAACCATTGTTAATGGGCTCTGCAGAACCGGGAACACTATCAGTGCTGTTAGTTTGCTTAGGATAATGGAAGAGGGGAGTGGTAAACCTGACACCGTAGTCTATAGCACAATCATTGATAGTCTTTGCAAGGATAGAATGGTGGACGATGCTGTGAAACTCTTTACAGAAATGGAAGAAAAGGGTATTTTCCCAGATGTTGTCACTTATACCTCTTTGATTCATGGCCTATGTAATTTTGGAAGGTGGAAGGAGGCTACCAAAATGTTAAGAAAAATGTTGGATGCCAGTATTTCTCCAAATGTTCGTACATTTAATGTGTTTGTGGATGCACTTACCAAGGAAGGGAAGGCAAAGGAGGCAGAGGAGGTACTTGAAGTCATGATACAAAGAGGTGTGGATCCTAATGTAGTCACATACAGTACTCTAATGGATGGATATTGTTTGCAAGGCCACATGGATGAAGCAATCAGAGTGTTCAATACCATGGTGGATAGGGGCCTCCACCCTGATGTTGTTAGCTATGGCATTCTAATCAACGGATATTGCAAGAAGATGAAAATAAATGAGGCCATGTATCTCTTTCGAGAATTGCCTCGGAGGGGTTTGAAACCTAACACTGAAACCTTCAGTGCTATCCTACGGGGCTTGTTTCAATTAGGTAGATGTGGAGCTGCTCAAGAACTTTTTAATGAGATGCAAACTGTAGGCATAATTCCAGATTCTCAAACTTATGGTATCTTATTAGATGGGTTGTGCAAAAATGGGCATATTTCTGAAGCATTGTCATTATTCCACATGATGGACAGGAACGGTTTAGATCATAATGTTGTTATGTACAGTATTCTTATTGACGGATTTTGCAAGGATAAAAAGCTTGATACTGCAAGGGCCCTTTTCAATAACCTTTCTTCCAAGGGATTACATCCTGATGTTAAGACATACAATATGATGATACATGGTCTTTGTGAAGAAGGCCTATTGCATGAAGCTAAGGAGTTGTTTGTTAAAATGGAACAGAGTGGTTGCTTGGCAGATGGTGTCACTTACAACACTATTATCCGAGGATTTATTGGACACAACAAGTGCTATGAGGCATTAATACTTGTTGAGGAAATGGTTGAAAGGGGTTTTTCAGCAGATGCATCCTCTTTTCCCATGATCATAGATATACTCTCAACTAAAGGACAAGATCCTGCTCTCCATGAAGTGATAAAGAAGTTCATGCACAAAGATAGTCATGGCATGCAAGAGAAAGAGTAAATTTCTTAAGATATGAAGGTAAGGCTACATTATACTAAAACATGTAGCATACTATCCTCACAAAAAGTCTATTATTAGGTGATACTCATTTATATATATATATATATATATTGCATTGTGATATTCTTGTTTGCACTGATACGTACCAGGCTAATTTCAAAAATGGTACACTAACTGGTATGATATTAACAACATTGGTTGGGTTTTATTATACCTCTTCTCTTACACTAGGATGACCTTATTGAAGAATTTGACTTTTGAAAAAAATGGTAAAAATTAAACGCATAGGGGATGATCACTATGTTTACATAAAGGGAAGAAAAAATTTAAGGGCAAATTACCCTAATAGTCCCTGTATTTTATCTCATGTGTCACTTTGGTCCCTGTGTTTTCAATTGACTCGATTTTAACCTTTTATTTTTAATTTCGTTTCATTTTGGTCCAATTGTTAACACTGGTTAAAATTGTTGACAGAAAACAAACACGTGAGACGCACACGACCTTTTTTCAAGGGCAATATGGACATTTCAAGGGCAATCAGGAGCAACATTCAAATCAACAGGTGGGGAAGAAGAAGTAACATTCAAATCAACATTCAAATCAAAACCATAACTAAAATTAAAAAAAAAGAGAAACAGATGAGGAAGAAGAAGATGTATAAGTGAAACATCATTCATCTTTTGATCTTCTACCCTTGGATTAATCCACCAAAAAAATTAAAAAAAAAAGAAAAAAAAAGGAGGAAAACTTAAGAATTAGCTCGAGGAAATTGAAAATTTGTGAAGAACAACCCAAATAATTCACCAAGAAATCAGCAACCACAATTCAAAAATTCTGCTATCAACAATTCAGGAATTCAGATGACAAGAAAAAATTGAATCTAAAGATCATAATGGTTATGTGGTTTTACTTTACAGGTCAACCAAAAATCAAATCATTAAAAGACACAAAAGAAAAGACCAAACAAAATTATTTAAAAAAAAAAAAAAAAAACTATTTCAATTTCCACCATTTCTAACTGTCCAAAAATACATTTTCAGAGCAACCAACCAAACACTTCCATAGTCATAAAATTGAATCAGGAGATCATAAAGCTCAATTCTTGAATTAACTCTCAAAACAGCTCAAGAATTGTCATGTGCTTTTGCTTTACAAGTAAACCAAAAATCACCACCTCAAAAAAAAAATTCAAAACCATAACTAAAATAAAAAAATGAAAAAACGAGAAACAGATGAGGAAGAAGAAGAAGTAAAAATGAAAAATCATTCATCTTTTGATCTTCTACCCTTGGATTGATCCACCAAAAAAAAAAAAGGAATAAAAGGGTTTTGATTAATCATTCATTGATAAAGTTTAGTTGCTCTTACGAGGTTTGCCTTTCCTCCGAGCACTGCTTCTTGACAGTCCCTTTGGCACCAGTTATGCTTCCTTCTTTGCATCCCCAACTGATGATGATGTTGCCACTTCTTTCATCTTCTCTTTCTCTTCTTCTTCTTCTTCTTCTTCTTCTTCTTCCTCACCTATTTTTGCTTTCTTCGATTCACTCTCTTCAACTACTGTTTCCATTGCTTCTTCTCTCTGTTCTTCCTTAATCTCTTCACTCTCTGTTTTCTCAACGGTTTTCTGAGGCCTACCCCTTTTCCTAGGCGTCTGTTGTTGGGGTTCTGATGAACCTATTGATGTCGATTTTGCTATTGTTTGGTGGCGGATGGTGGTGGTGGTGTTGTTTAGCAGTGGCGGTGGTGGAGTGAGATTGATGATAGACGGTGGAGGAGGAAAAAAAAAGGTGTTGCAGAGATGGAATAGGAATGGTTAGGATTGAAATGTCTGTTTTGCCCCTCAAAGTTGATCGCATGTTGTGCATATGACTATTTTCTGTTAATTTTTTTAAAAGTGGTTAATGATTGGACCAAAATGTAATGAAATTAAAAATAAAAGGTTAAAATTGAGCCAATTGAAAACACAAGGACTAAAGTGACAAAGGAGGTAAAATACAGGGACTATTAGTGTAATTTGTCCAAAATTTAAAGCTTTGTCAACGACATTGATTAATGATCACTACAACAGGTTTGTAGAAAAAAAAAAATTGAAAGCTTTATCAACAACATGTTGCTTAATGATCACTTCTATAGGGTTGTGTAGAGGCCTTTTCAGCAAGGTAAGCATCATTTTTGTTTTGAGAATTTTTGAGTTTTACTAATAGCTAGATGTTGCTTAATAACTTATAGATTCTCTTGTGATGTTGCCACTAATTGAGTACTTATTATCAATTTTTGAATATATTTTCTTGCTGTTTTTGATGAACAATGTAAAGGAGCTAAACCATACAATTTTGATTGTGAGCTAAATTTGTTGAAATGGGGCAAAAGTGATCTATGCTGCTGATTTCTATATCTTTTGTTCATAATACCAAATGCAGCCCAATGGATATTATTTAGACTGAAGTGGCCTGAACGGCACTCCTTTCTTGATGGATGTTGAGTTGAGCCAACACCCAGCAATTTACCTGTAATATTTGAGAATAATTCTACTTGTCAACCTTCCAATTTTGTGTGTTATAGGAATAAAGTTCATGTATCTAGGAAGTTGCTCTCTCTCTCTCTCTCTCAAGTAAGAACAGAAAATATTTCTTGAAAAGCAATGGCTGCTGTCGTGATAGTGGTTGACAAATTAGTATCAAGGATTCTCCCATCTAAACAAGCCACTGGTTGCTATATGAGATTGTAAATACAGTTTCGTTATCAGCCCTTTGACCTCTAATGCACACAGTGAGAAGCTAATTACCGAGGCATATCTACCAAGAAAGCTAGAAGCATTTTTCAGGAACAAAGTTGTACAAGAACTGAAGTCCAATGCAGACGAAGCTCAGGAGTTGCTGCAACTGCAAGGATCGAAGCAGCAATTAAAGAGTTGCACTCTGGATGTGTTGTGGTTGTGCCTTAGTATCACCTTTTTATAGTTGTTTTTGGATGATTCTTTTGCGAATATATTTGACCTGAAACACCCCTGCCCCAACACCCCAAATTAGTTTCACCTGTGTGTGGAGACAATCAACACCGAAAAGGGAAATGGGAAGACGGGGCTCACCACCCTGTTGATCAACCAATGACCAGCTCTAAAAATCACTTCTTCCACTTGATTCTTCAAAAGATAATTGTAATGTCGGTAAGAACATCCTACAGTGTATGTTGCACTCGAGAAAGAGGGTGGGTTCAGGTATTTATTTTCTTTCCTTGGTCCTGTGGCTATGGTAAATGATATTTGCTACTTGCGCAAGAACAGAAGAAGAAAAATAAGATAGTAAATGACATATTGATTCTAGCTACACTGGTGGAATATCTAATAATAAAATCATCTGTTTTGAAATCAAGTTCTAGTCTATGATATTTGGATAAACATATGCTCATTCCTGATGAATTTGTTGTTGAAGTGAGACCTTGGCTTGTTAAGCTGTCTCTGCAACCATGTCCAGAAACTAACTTTAATATGTTTTAGCTGAAACAATGCACACAACTACCTGTCAATGGGAAAAAAAAAATTAAACTAAATCCTGGCTAGTTTATTTTGAATCGTCACTCACCCTTTTATTTTCACTTAGTTGGGCAAATACACTGACTTGTTCTTGAAAAATTCAACTAACAAAGTCATACCTCATCTATTGGGTGAGCTTCACATACCCATTATTGCAATTCTTAGATAGGTCATATCTGTGGGCTAGTTGTGGCGCTATGGTGGATTATGAACGATATGCACCTTACGATCTCCTTAATCCTGGTTGTTTTTGGCATTCCCCTTTTGCATTGCTTTCAGTTTGAATTATGTTACTAATTATAGGTGTAGAAGACCAGATTTCATTGCGATGTGCAAGAACAGAACAATGAAAAAAAAAGATAGTAATGACATATTGATTCTAACTACACTAGAGGCATATCTAATAATAAAATTATTTGTTTTGAAATCAAGTTCTAGTCTATGATATTTGGATAAACATATGCTCATTCCCAATGAATTTGTTGTTGAAATGAGACCTTGGCACGTTAAGCCAACTCTGCAACCATGTCCAGAAACTACTTCAATATGTTTTAGCTGAAACAATGCACACAACTACCTGTCAACGGAAAAAAATTAAAATAAATCCTGGCTAGTTTATTTTGTATCGTCGCCCTTTTATTTTCACCCTAGTTGAGCGAATACACTGGCTTGTTCTTGAAAAATTCAACAAACAAAGTCATACCTCATCTATTGGTGAGCTCCACAAACCTATTATTGCAATTCTTAGATAGGTCATACCTGTGGGCTAGTTGTGGCGCTATAGTAGATTATAAATGATATGCACGTTATGATCTCCTTAATCCTGATTGTTTTTGGCATTCCCCTTTTGCATTGCTTTCATTTTGAACTATGTTACTAGTTATAGGTGTAGAAGACCAGATTTCATTGCTAGTTTGTTCTAGAGATGTTGGGGAAAAAAAAAAAAAAACCTTCAGATATTTGAATTTCAAGTCAAAGAAAAATGTGATCTTTGTTAGTGTTGACTCTGGGCTAGGCTCCTGTTGTTTTTCACGACGGATGCAAAGGAGCTATATAATTTTGATTATGAGCCTTAATTCATTAAAATGAAGCAAATGCAATCTATGGGAAGAAGATAAAGTATAGGCTGGCCTTGTTAATCAATCGAAGAGAAGCCCTAAAAATCACTTCTTCCACATAATTCTTCAAGAAATAATTGTAATGTCCTTAAAATATCCTATGGTATATGTTGCATTGGAGAAAAAGGGTAGGTTCAGGTATTTGTTTTCTTTCCAGGATCCTAAGCATGACAAATAATATTTACTACTTGCACAAAAAAAAAAAAAAAGGTATTGACATTTTGATTGTAGATACACTAGAGGCATAATTGTTTGTTTGTTTGTTTTATTTTGTTTTGTTTTGTTTTGTTTTGTTTTGTTTTTTTTTTTTTTTTTTTTTTTTTTTTTTTTTACAGAGATTGAAACCCAATTCTAGTCAATTTTATGTGCTATTAGAAAAAGTTGATGTATTTAGAAAATTGATGATGTATGACGAGTAAGGATTATTTTTCCACAAGTAGTGAGTCCGGGTTAAGTATATTGACAACCACAACAATAGACTTATAGGACTGGATGTAGTGGGATTTTGTGGCAGCAAAAGTATTTAAAAAACAGGAGTTTAAGGGTTTGAAAAAGGTAGAGTTTTGGGAATGAAAACACAATTGTTTAAGGGCTGTTGGGTGGCTGTTCTAAGCATTGTGAACAGTGACGTGAACAATAACCTTGCTGGAGAGAGAGGGGTGCTTCATCCTCACAAGGGATAGGCCAATCACACAAACACAATCTCAAATTTTCGTAATACTAATTCTTCTATTGAATCATTGAGATTATATATATATATATATATATTTATAAGCGAAAGACTCTCAACTTCTAATATTCTAAACCAACTATGACTTCCAATTCTACTTAGAAACTTTAATGACTTCTAATTCTACTTCAATATCAAAATAGGAAACTTGGACTTTTGACCACTAAGATTATTCTATATAATAAAACACATGTAATGACCCATTTAATAGATTAACAAGGGGGTTGGTGCTCGAAGAAAGTGGTTCAATCTCATGGTCATGGTTTATGGAAGGGGATTTCGTTGGGGAGGAGGGACTTTTGGGGTTGGGTTCGGTTTAAAATGGGGGTGAGGAATCGAGTTTGGTTTTGGCAGGATTAGTGCTGTGGTGAGACTCCTTTGGCGGATATGTTTCCTTTGATTTATGTTATTGCGGTGAATGGGGAGGAGTTGGTTGCTTCGGTTAGGGTGAGGCAAGGGAATTCAATTGTTTGGAATGTTCATCTTCATCGTTGTAGACCACCCGAACTTCCTCCGCGCGCCCTTCCTTTTGGAGAGGGGGCGAATTAGGTTCCAGCTATTACAGTTCGGACTCTCGTCACGGTTCTGAATCTAATCTCACAAAGTGCAATATGAGACTGATAAATCACCAAAGAGTCCAATGTGGCAAATCGTTTTGGAAAGCTGATTTTCAATCAAATAATG